ACCTGCTGCCTTCTCAGACCACCGGTGGCTCTGATAATAAGCACTTATTCTGTGACCTAACTCCTGTGTCGGCCTATTGGCTGAGCAGCACAGGCAGCACGAGCCCCGACTCAGTTGGCCTCCGCTTCATACCCACATTAGTAGACCTTTTCTTGGACTCTTGCAATATGTTATTGAAAATAATGACTAAGCTGTATTCTCTTACAGAATTTGTTGTTTAGTGGTAGAACCTGATTTTAGTTATCTCTCTTTCTCAGAACCATGCTTACAAGAGATGCTCCAATATTTGGGAGATGAATGGATTTATGACATATGGCCCTAAGATTGGGAATGAATAAGAAAGATAAAATAATGTCTATTGTTTCGTGCACAAACAGAAAACAAGGAGTTGTGTTAAGGAAAGATTCTGAGCTCTACGAAACCCCAGAAATAGGAGGAGAATAGTGTATGGCCCAGGTTTTACTAGAGTTACTTTGTAAGAGTGTCTTCCCTACTGGACTATAAGGTCCTCAAGAGCAGGCATTAGGCATTATTAATTTTTGGACATCCTTGGCCACCACCACAGCACCTGAACATAAGAGTTCATTTAGTACTGTATTAAGTAATACAAGCATTATTCATCCTGAAACAACGCTGGTTTGTACCACACTTAAGACTTATGTGATGGGAATTTAATAATTTATATTGAGGGATTTTTCTTCATTCCCTCTTAAAATGTATGAAGACCTATTATACGCCAGGCACTACTCTAGAATCCAGGGATAGAGCAATGAACAAGCCAAACAAGGTCCCTGCCTTTGTGGACCTTAGACTCTAAATGGGGAAACAGACACATGAAATAGCTTGTCAGAGCGTGAGAAGTGCTCTGAAAACTAAGGTTAAATGAAATAAAGAGTGACTGCATGGACTACTCTAGGTGGTCAGGGTAGGTCTCTCTGAGACAACAGCTCATGTGAATGAAGAGAGGAACCAGCCATGTGAAGAGCTAAAGGAAGAATGAGGAGAGTACAAGGTGGGCCTGTTGGTAGAATGTTGCNTGCTTCTGGATTGAGCTCTAACTATGCACATGTGATGGCTGGAGTGGAGGCAGCCATCCTGCAATCATGCAGCAGTGACACCACCATTCCGTGAAAGGCAAAGTACAGATGTAGTGGCTTCTGAGTCACTGATGACAATTTTGGGCCACCTAACCACTTCTGGACCTCCCATCTCTCAAATCTTTAAACATTAAATGTGAGATTTCTTTGTATTTTAAACTACTCTTGGCAGGGTTTTCTGTTACTTCAGCCAAACACATATCTGAATGACACAGCCTTCAAGTCTCAGTGGAAAATCCTCTGCCCTCAACTAGTTCCCCAGCAGAATTGGGTCTCTGCCCCTGTCCTCCTACCCTTCACTCATGAAAGCAGCTCATGAGCTGTGGTGCTCTGGCTGGCTGGCTGACTTGTCCATCTTTGGTCTGTGAATAGTCCTAGGGCAGGCCTCTGCCTTTTCTGCTCTGCGCACTCTGAGCCTGCATACAATGGGCCTTCAGGACACCTGAGGGACATCACCACACACATGCACCCAATGGCCAGAATCTTTCAGACATCCCAAAGCCTATTGATTCACTGTGGCCCTAAAAATTGCTTCCAGACCCCAGGGGTTTCTACGCCATCTTCAGCAGAGTTTCTTCTTCTGTGTGCTCTGGCCTTGGCTGGCTGGCTGGCCCAGTGGGTGCCTCTCTGATCTCATGAGCCCTAGCTCAGTGCTACAGGAAGGGCATGGAAGTGGAAAGCAGCAAGGGTGCGGAGAAGGGCCCCAGGAACAACAGTCCAGACTCTGAAGTTTCACTCAGGTGGAGGTGAGGGTGGACCTGCCGTGAAGGCAACCTCTCTTCTTGTCCCCCAGGGAACCCAGGCCATCCTCGGGACCCAGGCTGTCCTCCAAGTTCACCAGTTATTTTAGGTTAAGTGCTTCTTAAGGCCACACACATGCCAGGCCTTAAGATTTGAACCCTGTGCAGAGAACACTAGGGCAGTTTGCACACCTCCATGGCCTGCTGGACCCAGTCCTTCATACTGCTTATACTTCGTGCACTGCTCCCTGCTGTAGCTGTTCACATCAGCCTCTAACCAAACCCCCTCACCATGTGGCCGGCCTGCCTGGAGCTCAGATTTTCGAGCTCAGCATTTAGAATGCAGGGAGAAAGGCTTGACCTTTCCAGAGTATTTGTCTGTAGCCCTACATTGGCCATCCACCATTTAACCATTATTTGGCTTAAAATAAGGGTCAAGGATCTCCTTAGCCACTCCCAGACTGCCCTGGCTGTGGGCTGAGGAAGAGGCTGGAGTCACACCATTAGGATGTCCACCATGGAAGGATTTTATGATGTTTGTTCCCTCTGGGGTTGCATAACTGCTGCTGAGGCTTTTGGTGCTATAGGTGGAGGGGGACGCCCCAGGGCCACGCTCAGGGGCTGAGCTGGGGGTGGCAGTCTTCAATACTGGGCTCAGTTGGT